GGCCAAGATGGGCAAATCACCTGAGGTCAGGAGTTTGAGACCAGCCTGACCAAAGTGGAGAAACTCCATCTTTACTAAATACACAAAAATTAGCCAGGCATGGTAGCACATGCCTGTAATCCCAGCTACTCGGGAGGCTGAGGCAGGAGAATCACTTGAACCTGGGAGGCAGAGGATATGATGAGCTGAGATCATGCCATTGCACTCCAGCCTGGGTACCAAGATCGAAACTGTTTCAAAAAAAAAAAAAAATACGGAGTACTTGGCTGGGCCTGGTGGCTGACGCCTGTAATCCCACCACTTTAGGAGGCAGAGGTGGGTGGACCACCTGAGGTCAGGAGTTGGAGACCAGCCTGGCCAACAAGGCAAAACCCTGTCTCTACTAAAAATACAAAAATTAGCCAGGTGTGGTGGCACATGCCTATAGTCCTAGCTACTCAGGAGGCTGAGGCAGGAGAATTGCTTGAACTCAGTAGACAGAGATTACAGTGAGCAGAGATTGCCATTGCACTTTAGCCTGGCCAACAGAGTGAGACTCTGTCTCATTAAAAAAAAAAAAAGTATACACACACACACACACACACACACACACGTACAGAGTATTTAGAATGAAATCTTCAAAAATTGTGAAGGACCCAGTCACTGAAAAACAAAAGGCATTATTAAGAGAAATCAAAGGAGACCCATATCAATGGAGAGACATATGTTGTTCCTGTGGTGAAAGAATGCTGAAGTGTCAGTTTCCCCCAAATTGATCTATAGAGTAAGGAAAATACAAGTTAAACTCAGAAGGAACACGTGTAGCAATTGAAAAAGCTCATTTTAAAATGTCTGTGGAAATACCAAGGACCTAATATAACTAAGTAATCTTTGAAAAAATAGAACAAAGTTGGAGGATTAACATTACTAGATTTTCTGATTTATGAAATGGCATTAATCACAACAGCATGGTAGTAGTGTTAAGGTAGATCAATAGATCAATGGTCCAGATATGTCAATGGTCCAGAGATAGACTCACACCAGCAACTGATTCTTGATAAAGATGTTGATGGAATTCATTGCAGAAAGGACCTTCTTTTCAACAAATGGTGCTGGAACAACTGAATGTCCATAATAAGCAATAAATAAACTTTTAAAAAATTTATTTTGATTTTTTTTTAGACAGGGTATTATTGCTCCGTTGCCCGGTTCACTGCAACCACTGTCTGTCTCTCGGGTTCAAGTGATTCTCCTCAGCCTCCTGAGTAGCTGGGACTACAGGCGCGTGCCACCATGTCTTGCTAATTTTTGTATTTTTTAGTAGAGATGGGGTTTTACTATGTTGGCCAGGCTCATCTTGAACTCCTGACCTCAAGTGATCTGCTCACCTCAGCCTCCTAAAGCACTGGGATTACAGGCGTGAGCCACCACGCGCAGACAAGAAATAAACTTTGATCCAAACCTTTCACCATATACAGAAACCAACTGAAAATCAACCATAAGCCTACATGTAAAATCCCAAATTGTAAAACTTATTTTAAAAAGGAGAAAATTTTTGTAACCTTGGACCAGGCGGAAATTTCTTAGATACAAAATCAGTAGCACAATCTATTAAAGAAAAATTTGATAAACTGGACTTTATCAAAATGAAAAAATTCTATGCAAAAGACACTGTTAAAGCATAAAGAGATGAGTCATGTACTAGAAGAAATGTTTCAAAATTTTATATCAGATAAAGAAATTGTATCCAGAATATAGAAAAAATTCTCTACTACAAACACCCTATTAAGAATTGGCCAAAGATTCAAACACTTCACCAAAGCTGATACAGAACTGTCAAATAAGCTTAAGATCTTTAAACCATGTGAAGTGTTGGCAAAGATGTGGAGAAAATAGAGAAAATGGAACTACACTGCTGGTGGAAACGTACAATGTTACAGCCATTTTGGAAACAGTTTGGCAGTTTCTTTAACAAGCTAAAGATAACCTATCATATTCTGCTCCTAGGTATTTACCCAGAAAAAAATTAAATTTTATGTTAATACAAAGATTTGTACACAGATATTTACAGAAGTCGTCAAAATGGAAAACAACCCAAATATCTCTCAGTGGGTGAATGGAAAAACAAATTGTGGTATATCCACACAGTGGAATCCTCCTCTAATAACGAGGAATGAACTGCTGATTCAAGCACCTACATGGGTGAATCTCAGAATAATTATGCTGAGTGAATGAAGACAGATAAAAAGGAATACATACTATATGATTTCACCTAAATAAAATTTTAAAAAATGCAAACAACTTTTAGTGACAGAAAGACGATCAGTTGTTGTGAGGGGCCATGGTGAGGAGGCCTTGACTGGCAGGAAGGATCCCTGGATATTCTGGAATTTTTATTCTGGATATAAAGGTACTTTAGGAAACTTCTGCAAGTCTGGATATGTTTATTGTCTCGATGGGGTTTATGGCTTCACCGCTGTATACATATGTCAAAATGTATCAAAATTTACACATTAAATATGTGCAGTTTATTGTCAATGATACCTTAATAAAGCTGTTAACATTTTTTCAGTAATGTAGTTATGATTCTTTCATTCATAATTTTTTTCACAAATCTATATAAAATGATTTGTATTGCTATTTATGACATTTAACTATTCCATAGCAAGAGAATGTCACTTTATCTTTTTTTACTCATTAATTCATTTAGCAAACATTTAAAGTGCCAGACGGTGCTGGAGAAACAAAGATAAAGCTTTTTAATTAATGGGGGTAGAGAACTAGTATTTATTGAGTACCCACTCTCTCTCTCTCTCTCTCTCTCTCTCTTTCTCTCTCTTTCTTTTCTTTCATGGAGTTTCACCTCTGGTCTGAAACTCTTGATTTCAGGCGGTCCACCCACCGGGGCCTCCCAAAGTGCTGGGATTATAAGCGTGAGCCACAGTGCCCAGCCCACACCTACAGAGTCCCGAGGGGAGTGGAAAAATCCGACCTCTTTCTGAGGAAGTCAATGAAGGCTTTGCTATTCAGGCCATATTGTTGGAGATGCAGTAGAGACTGCAATATTCAGACTTTTAAAGGAGTGATTATTGACAACTCAAGGGCAAGTTATGTATTACCTGGCAGAAGTAATGTTTTCTTATTCATTGCTCCTGTAGTACTTTGCTTACGTGGTCAATTTGTAACTCCATACCTCAGTGAGTTGTATTTTTGCTTGTAATGGACAATTACAGTGGAATGGAAGCGGCCATTTGTATTTTAATAACACTTTTTTTTTTTTTTTTTTTTTTTTTGGAGACGGAGTCTCACTCTGTTGCCAGGCTGGAGTGCAGTGGCATGATCTCGGATCACTGCAATCTCTGCCTCCTGGGTTCAAGTGATCCTCCTGCCTCAGCCTTCCGATTAGCTGGGACTACAGGCACGCACTACCACGCCTAGCTAATTTTTGCATTTTTAGTAGAGAAGGGGTTTCACCATGTTGGCCGGGATGGTTTCCATCTCTTGACCTCAAGATCCACTGTCTCAGCCTCCCAAAGTGCTGGAATTAGAAGAGTGAGCCACCGCACCTGGACAATAACGATATTTTTAAGCACCTACTATAATTTGTGATAAATCCTCTTATATGGATAAATTATTATTCACAACTTGCGAGTTAGTATTACTATCTCTATTTTACAAAGAAACAGGCTGCAATATAAAAATTTTCTAAAGGTGTGAAATAATAAAATTACTTAAGCCATATAAAATTAGCAACGACATTTTTCTGTAAGATTTTATCTTGGAGCTACATTAAACAACTATTTTTGTAGTCAAACACATTCAAATGCATGAATAAATTACATTCCAAGCCACTTACAAATATAAACTAAATTTGGATTACTCTTATTTCTTTGTATTGTGGATCGCAAAAAGCTGAGTAAACTTTTAATTATCTCTAGAATTCGACATTTGCCTTTGATGTGAAGTATCATTTGAAAAACACAAGCTAAGACTGAAGTGGTTTGTTCAGTATGATAATGAGGTTGGTTTTTTAATATAGCATTATTAATTTTATGTTCTAAGAAATGAGGACATTTAATAGTAGATTATAGAGTCATGCGTCAACAACATTCATCATTACCAACCAAGGCCAGTAATATGTCTTCAAAGCTATATTTAATACTCCCAATGTTACACACAATTATGTGTTCAATGAATGTTCAGTGAATCCTTCTTTATGATGTTGATAAATATCGTTTACATAGCTAAAATCTTTTACATAGCTAAGGGCAAATCGCTGTTTACTAGAGATACTTATGCCGAGTGGAGTGAATACACGAAGTCGTAAATTATATGAAAGCAGGTGACCTATTATAGCCAGGGTCTCAATTTAATAATATATGCCCGTTTTAAAATAGCCTTATTTCCTCCTCTAAGGCTTGGATTCTTTTTTTTTTTTGAGGCAAGGTCTCACTTTATCGCCCAGGGTGGCGTGTAGAGGCCGGATCTCAGCTCACAGCAGCCTCAACCGCCCGGGCTCAGCCTCCTCAGTAGCTGGGACTATAGGGGTGCGACGCGGGGCCGGCTAATATTAGTATTTTTTATAGAGACGGAGGCTCATTCTGTTGTTCAGGCTGGTCTCGAACCTCTGGGTTCAAGCGATCCGCCCTCCTGTGCTTCCCAAAGTGCTGGGATTACAGGCAGGAGGCACCGAATCGGCCTCGGCTAATTTTAATACCAAGTTAACACAGCTCTGTTGAATGCCCACTGTATGCCTAAAGATCAAAGTTTGATAAAACAAGGTCCCTGCTCTTATTGAGCACATAGCTTTCTCAGATTATCAGTAACCAAATTTGGAAAATAATCCAGAACGCTGCCGTAGGTCAAGGATCCCCGCTTGCAACATTCGGTCCAAACAAGTCAATTCCAGGCGGCCGGATTCCCCCTAGTTCCTCTGTCCCCAACCTCTGGGTGGGTCCACACCCAAACTCTCCCTCCTTAGGTCCCGCCACGCTCAAGAGTGCGCAGGCGCCCTCTGGGAGGCGGGCAGTGACCCAGAGGCTGTCGCGCGGTGCACAGATAAGACGTCGAGCGTGCGCAGGCGCTCGGCTTAGAGGACTGCCGGAAGCTAAGATGGCGCAGAGGTGTTTTCCAGGCCGCAGCTGGCGCCGTATCAGTATCTAAGCGGAGTGTTTTGGAAGGAGTTAAGGGGCTGTGGCAAACTCCCTCTCAGCCGTGATGGCCCGGCATCGGAATGTTCGAGGTTATAACTACGATGAAGGTAGGTGGCAGGGTCAGGCCGGGACCTTCATTTCGCGGTTCCAGCTGGGATACTATCCCTTTGGCATCCACTTCAATCTGAGTTTCTCGTCAGTGCTGCCCTGTCGGAACTGGGAGAGCCTCAGTTGGGGAAAATAACAGGACTTCTAGTGCCGCCAACTGCCTTTGTTTTTAAGTCATGATATCTGCCCTGTGGGGTTGATTTTATTTGGGGAGGGGGAGGTGCTGCATAGCGTCATGTGGATAGGACATTGGTGAGGTTGGGAACCGTTGGTGTTAAGGCATGTAAGCATTATCACCTCTTCCATTGTTTTCTCCCAGGTCGGGCACTCACGTGCCTGTTTCTTGCTCCTCTCCCCCAAAATTTGAGAAATGTCCATGAAACGTTGCTTATTTGTAAAACACGGATCAACTTAATGCTTACATTCAACGGACGTGTATCTGTGTTAGATTTACATGGTAAATCTTTTGTGTATGTCCATACATACTTACTTAGTGCAGAACCAGTTTGCGCTAATTTATTTTTCAACGAATTTCAAAGTGGAAACTTAGGAGATAGTGGAAGACACATATTAAAAAGGTCCAGAGAGTAAGTTGATCAGATGATCATGAAGTTTATACTCAGTTCTTCGCTATTTTGAAATGTAAATAAATGACAGTACTAGAGGAAAGAGTGTATGGGAAAAGATTTTTTGATATTAAAAAAAATAAAAGAAAAATATGTATATGAATGTTCTGTAGTAGTTCACAGGAGTTTTAGGAGGAGCACATCCCTCTTCATGCAGTGGATAACTATAGCCATCACCAAGCATCACATAAACTAAAAATATAAACAAATATGAACTAATGCAGAAGAAGAATAAAGATCTATACTTTGCAAAGTACAGAACATGTAGTGCTTAATATGTTGGTGATTGGCACTGGCACTCCCAATAGATTATTACAGAACATCAGTGTGCTCTAACTATAGTGGGGGCAGCGAACACTCTGTTCTCCATTTGGAACCTGTGACCCCAGTCCATCTGGAACATGTGAATTTTCTGGTGGTTACTTTAGAATGGAGACCCTTTTAAATAAGTATTGCGGTGGATGGCATTGCATGTGGACCATTGTCACCTAAGAAATGACTTTAGACTGAGAGATACTTTTGCAAATATAAAGTACATGAATAGGCCTAAGTAGTATTCATATATTTCTTTAATAGTAGTTTATCATTTCCTCAGCCACCATTAATTTAGTGCTTAGAATACTGTTCTAAGATTTGGGGACTGACAGTAAGGTATTTGAGGGTAGTCTAAAAGGAGATTATACCAGTTACACATTATTAGAGTATGAAAAACGCTACAAAAAGTACTGACAATGCTATGGGAGGGATACACAGATGAGAACACTAAATTCAGAATGGACGGGAGCTAAGCAGGATTTCTGTGCGAGGAATGCTTCACGGAGGAGAGGTGCTTGGCCTCAGGGAGCACCTTGGCTACTTAAGGTCAGGTTGTCATGTTTCTTTGGAACAATTGGTGACATCATAACCAAGCTGTTCCTGTAACATTAAGGAGGTTCATCTCCTTTTCTTGTTTATATAAGTTTTACTTATCATCAAGGTCCAGTTTATTTCTCTTCTTCCCAGTTAGGCTTTCAGTTCTCAGAATAATAATTTTAAAATTGTCTAAAGTAATATAACCTCATTAGAGAGAGTTTGTGTTCTAAAACCTACCGGTTCCTCTACTTAATTCCCACTTCGTTTTTCTCTGTAATTTATATAATACTTTGCATGACTGTCTCAGTTGCTGATTTAAAAGTCCCAGGAAGGGAAAATCCATACTTTTAAGTAGCTGACACAATGTTCTTTACATGTAGTAAATGCTCCATAATTTTGTTGATTGAGGAAACAAACTACAAAGATTGCAGGAAAGAATTCTCTTCATCTTTTTATGTTGTGGCACTTTAGGGTCAACTTCAGCATTGACAAACTGACCTAGTAAAAAAGAATCTTTTTTTTTTTTTATTTTATGAGTGAGGATCTTACTGTGTTGCCCAAGCTGGAGTGCAGTGGCTTGATCATAGCTCTCTCTGACCTCTAACTCCTGGGCTCAAGCAGTCCTCCTGCTTCAGCCTCCAGAGTAGCTAGGCCTAAAGGCATGTGCTACCATGCCCCGTTAAATTTTTGTTTTAGTAGAGACAGCATCTCACTATGTTGTGCAGGCAGGTCTCAGATTCCTGGGGTCAAGCGAGATCCTCCCTCCTTGGCTTCCCAAAGTGTTGGAATTACAGGTGTGAGCCACCATGCCTGGCCTATTGCTGTCTTCAGCATCTAAAAATATTTTGTTTACGAATGGCCTCTTGTTTATTTGCAAATAAATTTTTTAAACTTTGGATTATGATCTAATAATTTATTTAATCTTATACGTTTTTTGCCCAATAGTAGCATTTACCTAATTTTTCTTTGCTGTAGGCATTTGGTTTCAGCCTTTGAGCATGCTGTTCCTGCCGCATGCATACCCTCAGAAACCAGCTAACTCTATCCTTTGGAATTGTTTTCGGTATTGTATTGCTGGGGATCTTTTCCCTAGCCACCCCACTCCCAGTTCTAGTTTTGTTGTTCATGTGTGTGTTCTCAAATTGCTCTGTGTTTCTTATGTCAGGCACTTGTCACATAGTTTTTGTAATTGCCCATTTTCTTGTGTGTATTCCTTGTTAGATTTTAGGTGTGGCTGGATATGTGGATAACTAGAAATGTGTTCACTTATACCACGGTTGTCTCAACTCCTCCCTGGAATGGCGTTAATGTTTGTCAAATGAAATTTATGTAAATATACTTAACGTTTTTTGTGTGTTTTTAGTTGTAATTAGTTTGATTTATTAATTTATAATAAAACAAATATTAATTTAATGCCACATCGTGCCAGGTAGTTGTCTAAACCAAGTCTTGCCGTGAAGAAGCTGATAGTCTCATGGAATGAACAGGTGTAGTGCTTTGAAGACATACCGTAAATTGGAGAAGTATGCTGGAGGGTGACAGTGGCAGAGGGGTTTACTACTTTACCCAGAGTGGTCAGGGAAGACTTGTACAAAGAGGAGACATTTGAGCTGGAATGTTAGCAGAAAGAAATGGCCTTAGGAAAATCTAGGCAAAGAGCATATCCCAGGAAGCAGGAAAAAAACAGGGCAGTTAGCCATCAACGGTGAGTGCAGGGTGTTTAGGGTAAGTTGGTTTGTATAGATGTTACCTAGCTCTCCATGAAGAAATATTACTTTCATGATCTATTATATACCCCCATGTTAGTTCTGTGGAAGAAAAATGCTTTGGTTATTGAGGGCATTGGGTGGAAAAAAAAGGAGAACAATTATTATTTTTTTTCTTTTTTGAGTCATAGTCTCTTGTCGCCCATGCTGGAGTACAGTTGCGTGACCTTGGCTCAGTGTAACCTCCACCTCCTGCGTTCAAGCAGGAGCCTGCCGCAGCTTCCTGAGTAACTGGGATTACAGGCACATGGCACCACACCCTGCTAATTTTTGTATTTTCAGTAGAGATGGGGTTTCACCATCTTGGTCAGACTGGTCTTGAACTCTTGACCTTGTGTTCTGCCTGCCTTGGCCTCCCAAAGTACTGGGATTACAGTTGTGAGTCACTGTGCCCGGCCTCAAGTATGATATTTATAGGATTATATTATATTTTGATCACATGAGGTGAAAACTTGGGACTTGGGAAAACATAAACCCAATTAACAACTAAAGATATGTGTATATCTTTATAAATACAGAGGTAGTAAATACCTATTTTGTGGGTGAAATTCTTAGAATTTTTTTGAAAATAGACCTTCCAGATACCTTAATTTTGATAAACAGTTTATTTTGGAGAGGATTCAGATGCTTCCTTACTAATAACTGAGAATATAAAAAGAACTTGTAAATGAATTTATCTTTTTTGTCTTTATTTTAGATTTTGAAGATGATGATCTCTATGGCCAGTCTGTAGAGGATGATTATTGTATTTCGCCATCAACAGGTGAATTTTTAGAAATAATTTGATTCCTTTGATTTGGTGTTTAAACACTTTAATGTTATTGTCATTCAAGGACTAGAGTGTTTGGTAAGACTGTAATATGTAACATTTAAAAAGATAATTGTATATCAGTTTTTAATGGCAAATAAAATAATTTCTTTACCTGTGAGTAGAACTTAAAGTAATGATTCTATTATTTAAACAATATGAAAAAGACTGGCTTTTTTTCCCAACATACTTTGTATCATGCAGTTAATCTAAAAGTGCTGAAATGGTAATTTAGTCAGTAATGAATTTTTGAAGCCTCTGGAGGCAGGCAACCATTGTCTCCCCAAGATCTTTGAGTATTAGAAACATGGAGGTGTTGTGCAAAGACTTTCCTTTATGTAATACTTTATCTGTTATTAAGCAGTTCGGTAAATAAACCAAGTACTTGTAGTCCAGACTTCTTTTGGAGCCACAGAGGGATTTGGCATTCATATTTATGTATGATTCCACATCAGAGCTACATCTTCTAGATTCTCAGCCCAAAGATTTCTTCTCTGCCACCATATATGGAAAACATTCCTATATTCTTTCCAGCAAAGACTAAGTCATTAATCTTGATCTTCCTCTCACTTATTTCCCTAACACTACATTTGTATTCAAATTTCAGCCTACTATGTATACAAGTTAAAATGCCCTGCTAAGTTTTAGTATGGTATAGACCAGGTGTGGTGGCTCATGCCTATAATCCCAGCACTCTGGGAGGCTGAGGTGGGTGGATCACCTGAGGTCAGGAGTTCGAGACCAGGCTGGTCAACATGGTAAAACCCTGTCTCTACTAAAAATACCAAAATTAGCTGGGCCTGGTGGTGAGTGCCTATAATCCCAGCTACTCAGGAGGCTGAGGCAGGAGAATTGCTTGAGCCTAGGAGGCTGAGGTTGCAGTGGGCTGAGATTGCGCCATTGCACTTCAGTCTGGGCAACAAGAGTGAAACTCCATCTCAAAAAATGAAAAAAAAATTTTTTTGGTATGGTGTTATTTACCTATAGTCGGGTGTAGCATAAATTCAAAAAATTAATTTTTGACAAGTTTAAATATTTAATATAATGAACATTTCTTTCTTTTCTTTCTTTTTTTTTTGAGAGGAGTCTTGCTCTGTCTCCCAGTCTGAAGTGCAGTGGCACGATCTTGGCTCACTGCAACTTTGGTCTCCTGGGTTTGAGCAATTCTGCCTCAGCCTCCCAAATAGCTAGGACTATAGGCATGCACCACCAGACCTGGCTAATTTTTTTTTTTATATTTTTAGCTGAGACTGTTTCACCATGTTACTTATGCTGGCTTGAACTCCTGACCTCAAATGATCTGCCTGCCTTGGCCTCCCAAAGTGCTGGGATTAGAGGCATGAGCCATTTGCCTAGCCCTAATTAACATTTCTTCCAGAACCTTCTGCCATGGTCTGAATGTTTGTGTTTTCCTCAGATTTACATGTTGAAATCCTAACGCCCAAGGTAATGGTATTAGGAGGTGAGGCCCTTGGGGGGTGGTTAGGCCATGAGGGTAAAGTGCTCATAAATGGGACTAGTACCCTAATAAACGAGGTTCCAAGGAAAACTCTTGCCCTTCTATCATGTTAGGACACAGCAAGTAGGTGCTATCTGTGAGCCAGAAAGCAGGCCTTCACCAGACGCAGACTCTGCCTTGATTTTGGCTTCCCAGCCTCTGAACTGTCACATATTTCTGTTTATAAGGTGCCTAGTTTATGGCATTTTGTTATAGCGGCCTGAATGGACTGACATCCTCCTTGTCTTAATTACCCTGTAGTCTGCTGGGCTATCTTATGAACTGTACCTGCTTTAATCCCATTTTTAGCCTCTGTAGACCAACTATGTCCCTTCTGACTTTAGTAATTTATTTTTCTTTATAAATGCTTAAGTATGATAGAAGTTTCTTTATCATATCTACTCTTATCTGTCATCTTTTTCCTGTTGACCGGTTATTCTGAAATGCATCTAGCTCTTTATAGACCTGTTCTTCTGGTCAAGTGCTTCCTTATATCTACTCTTTCTGTCACCTTTTTCCTGTTAACCGGTTATTCTGAAATGCATCTAGCTCTTTATTTATAGGCCTGCTCTTCTGGCCAAGTACTTTTCTCATTTAGCTTAATCATCGCTTTTCCTCTCATCTTTTAATGTTTCACTGTTATCAGTACATATTCTGTTAGGAGATAAAAATTGCACCAGTTATTTTATCAGACAGCACTTAACATAAACAGTTGTTAACCAGGTATTATAGAACAAAGAATGCAAAAAGTACAACCAGGATATCAAGAAGGTCAAATTGCAGGTAAATTCAGGAAGCACTTTACTGTCCCTAGTTCTTAGGGGAACAAATGGCAAGGTTGAAACCACCTTGAAGAGGCTGGTATATGCTCCTTGGAGCTGGGACTTGGATCTTGAGGAAAGGGTTCTTTGCTGCTTTGCCTCTGAAGTTCACGAGCGGAACTCTGGAACCGGGACTCAGACCTCTGGGCAGGGAGGTACTGCAGGGCTGATGCTACTGCCTCAGAAGCTCACTGAATCTTCTTGGAACTGGGATTCAGCTTTTAAAGAGGGAATTCCAACCACCTGGCTGGTAGTGGTGTCTGTGGAGTGAAGAGGCAAGTTGAAGCTGGTTCTGGGAGTTTTAGAAAAACTGAAAACGGATATTAATTGCTGTTACTGGAACAAACTGCTTCTGGAAGGTGAAGTGAGTGTTGCTGGGGTGATGCTGGAACAGGGAGCAAACAGGAAGGAGCATGTGGCTGCCTTCTCTGGCTTTCCAGTGTCCCTTTAGTATTGGCTGATCCTAAAAGGGAGCCAGGTATCGAAGAAGAAACGTGCTTTGCAGTGACTTCAATCTAGCATCACAAAGCTGAGTAAAGGGTGGTCGGTTAGAAGCTGAGAGATGACTTAATAAGCAGCATTCCTTTACAGATCCTTTTTCAGGTATTCAAAAGAGAAGACATAGTGAGTCAGGAACAAAACAATTTCACATTTTTCTAGGAACTCCTAGGCATTTGCCCTTTGCGGCTACTGTAATTCGGCATCATAGTTGACTAGGTAGCTTAAATATTCGAGGTGACAAAGTGATGTGTGGTAGCGCTATCCTCACACTCACATTCTAAGCACATTAAAGAGCATGGCATATGCATGGAACTGGTTATATTAGGTTTGAGTTAAATCTCTCTAATATATGGATAATGAATTAAAGGTGGTATATGAGTGGATATAAGTAGACTCGTTAGGTGACTATTATATGTATTTATCTAGAGGAGATGAGGCTATTTTAGGACAGTGTTCTCAAAGTGTGGTCCCTGAACCATCAGCATCACTTGAGAGTTTGTTAGAAATGCAATGTTGGGGGCTCTGCCCAAGAGTCAGAAGCTGGGAGTGAGGCACAGCAGATGTTTTAACAAGCCCACTGGAGTACACTCATGGTATGCATTGAGAACCATTTGATTAGGGCAACAGTGGTAGCACTGGATTTGGAAATACATTCAAGAGAAAATTTATAGGAGTTGCAGTCTACAGGACTTGAAAGTTGTTGAATATGGCTTTGTGTAAGTGTGGAATATTTCACAGAGCTGGGGATTACTGAAAGACACCTTAATATTGCATGTTAACACAGTCATTTATCTAGGCTTCTCTGGATAAATAATATGTTATCTTGAATAATAAGCTAACAGTACACAAGGTCAGACTTTCAAAGGGTGTTTCTTTGAGATCTGCATTTATGACCTAGCTTTCTTGAGAACAGGGTCAGAGTTTATCCATGTGTCTCATAGCTTTTGAAGTGACTCTTGCACGTGGTTTGCATTCAGGACAGTCTGACTCTGAGAGTTACTTTTTGTACATACCAAGAAGTCAACTGATATTATCAAATCAGGAGATAGTTAAATATTTTTGAGTTTCTTTTGTGATAAACTGATATTTTTAACAAAAGCAGATGACTTTGGATTTTTTAAATTTTGGATTTTTTGAAATTTGCTATTTCAAAACATTTTAAAAACAGCAGGAACATCAAATAAGAAACTTACTTTCCTCTTAATGGTCTCAAGTAATTTTCAATAAAAAATTGAATAGTTTTAGAAGAATATTTTTTATTCTTAAAGAAGCAGCCAATGTCATTGAAAAGCTGATTATATTCATGGTGTAATGAAGTCTGATAATTGAATGACTTTACCAATTAATTGGGATTTCTATCAGATTCATCAGCATGTGTGTATTTTTGAATTCAATTAAGCCCCGTTTTCCTGGTCTCACTATGTTGCCCAGGCTTGTCTCGAACTCTTGAGCTCGAGTGATCTTCCTGCCTCGGCCTCCCAAAGTGCCAGGATTATAGATGTGAGCCAACATGCCCAGCCTATGATGGTGATTTTTAAATGTTAGCTTTCTTTTCTTTTAGAAAGGTTGACTTTGATACTGATTATTGAACCTATGCCCAAGAGTGGGGATAGCAAAAAGAGTTTGTACATAAAACTTTATTTGAATGATGATATATTGTTTTAACTAATATGATTAGAAGTTGCTCCACTCTAATTTCAAAGCTTTATTGTATATTCATTTTTTTTTGTAAGAAAAACCCTATTCTAGTAAGTTTATAAATCAGTTTGGTGTAAGGAAGCTTGTTTTAAAGTCTTGTTCAAATAACTTGCTACAACAGTATGGTGGGTAAAGAAAATAACCCATCACTGAAGAAGTCTGGGAAGGCTTCTGGAAGGAGTTGGGATTGGAGCTAGTAAATTTGGGAGTAAAAATGGCATCCCAGCTAGAGGAAACAATGTTGCTTAAGCAATGACCTGTACATGAGGCTCGTTTCATCAGACTGGCAGGATTAATGCAAGTGGTGGGAGGAAGGAAGGCTAGGAAAGAAAATAGGAACCAAATTGTGAAAGACAGTTTTTAATTTTGTGTGTTTAGTGGCAACTTATTGGAGTTTTTTGAGTACTGGAGCTAATACTTTGTGCAGATAACCTATCATGGTCTACAAAGTGGCGTATAGGTGGGACAGAAGAAAGCGGGGAGACTTGTAGGTCACCAGTATTTCCTGATCTTTCCTTGTGATATTAATCACCTGGCAATAATTCCCTTTTTTTTTGAGACTGAGTCTCATTCTGTAGCCTCGGCTGGAGTGCAGTGGCATGATCTCGGCTCACCTCACCTTCCACGCAGCTCCCAGGTTCAAGCAATTCTCATTCCTCAGCCTCCCAAGTAGCTGGGTTTGCAGGCACCCGCCACCATGCCCAGCTAATTTTTATATTTTTAGGAGAGATGGGGTTTCACCATGTTGGCCAGGCTGGTGTCAAACTCATGATCTCAGGTGATCCACCTGCATGGGCCTCCCAAAGTGCTGGGATTACAGGCATTAGCCACAGTGACCAGCCAGAATGATTCTTAAGAACACAAATTTCCTGCTTCATTCCAGCACCACTGCATCATAATCTCCAGGGGAAGATGCCTAGAAAGCTGTATTTTTAATGACTGCTACACTTGATTTTTATTTTAAGATGTTTAGGGAACAATTTTAGGAGGTTCCAGGTGTTAGGTTTTGAATTCTTTGCACTTTTTTATGTTTGTCAAAATAACTTAAATTTAAAAAATTAGTATAGGTGTCTTTTTTCAGAAAGCACTTCCATCAAAGTTTGTGATTTAAAAAATTTTAGAGAATAACATTTTGTATTTTTCATTTTCTCACTATTACTTTTCTCTCACTCCATTACTTGTTTTTGTTGCTTTTGGGGCAGTCAGTACAACTTCAGAGGTTTGGACCACTCCCTGCCTCACCCACCCACTTTTTAAAAGTAATGGCAAAACCTGCAGTTTTGTACCAACCCAGTATTTCTTCTGGGGGAGTTTTCTTACTCTTTTTCCCTCCCTGGCAAATCCAACCATTACTACTTCCAAAATAGTGGCCACAGTATAGGTTTCTGAGTTGGAGTTACGTGTGGGGTGTGTGTGGTGGTACAGGACCACCCCCACCCCCATCACTAAGAAAAAGTAGCTTCTAGGAGGCAGAGGAGGAGCCTGTACATTGAAAACTTCCTCTTCCCTGTTGTTATTTCCTGAATGAAACTTGTTGAGGGAAACATCTGATTTCATATCTCATTTAATTTTTTTTTTTTTTTGGTCTTAGGTTTCTCCCTCATAGTTCATGGATGTGAGGAGAAGTTGGGGAAGCATTTGTTACTTTTAGGCTAAACTGAATACAATCTATTAAAGCCAAGAAAGCACCATGCACAAAATGGCCTCATTTATACTGTATTTTATTAAATCTAAAATTTAAGGTGTATCATTATTTTAAGGACCACTCTAAAACAAAAGGCTATCAGTCTAAGTATTATGTAATGCTAAGATGTCATTTGATTGAAAGACACATCTCTAATTCTGAGATTTGTAATGTGAAAAAAAGTGGTTCTTTTAGAGAATTTGTGGAATAGGATGTGTCTTCTGCTATTTAGCCATGCTAACTTTATACCAATAGTGTTATCTCCTTGTACAAGAGGGGGAAAATAGGGATATATGTGTGTGTGTGTGTGAGAGATAGTGTGTGTGTGTGTGTGTGTGTGTATGTACAACATAATGTATGTTCTTAAACTCTGTGGTCTTCAGAATTATATACTAAAAATAACTTATGGGAAAAACAGGATCAGGACAGACCACTCCAGCTATAGAGTGCTAACAAAACCAATAATCATCATAATAAAATGCTTGCACATTTGAAAAGATTTATTAATTTCTTAATAACTACTCCAGTATATACAGGATTTTACACTAAAAAAAGGTGAAAGCTTGACAGGAGGTGTAAGAAAGGGTTGAAACTAAAGAGTAATGTTGCAAAGGCCCAATGCTCACAGATCTTGGAGAGCCAAACAGTAAGGGCTCTCCAAACAGAGCACATGTCCAAACTGAGCCAAGGGGAAGAATGTGGAGCTATGTAACATTATAATACAATTACAGTTACAATATAATATTCTGCTGTGGTTCATGTTATCCAGCTTTATGCAACCATTGAAGTACTGGGAGAAAAATTTCATAAACTGAAGCATTCTCAATGTTACACTTTCATCATTCTGTATACCCATTGATATGTGCTAATTTTGTCTTAAGGAAACATGCATTATAGTAGAATGGATTGAATTATCTCAACTGCTCTTTACTAATATTTCTCTTACTCTGTCCTTGTTCAGGGTCTCTTCTACCTCTTCAAATTTCTCTCTATTCCTGCCTCCTTTATTATAATGCTCCAGTCTTCATTGGTTTCTTCTATGCTTCCACAGTGCTTGTTGTCTGTATTACTCATTTGGCTTTTAAAATAAATCATTACGGTTTTCTTCTTTGTCTTGCCTGCTAATTTGTCAGGCCATTGACTTTTTTTTTATTTTTCTTTTGAGACAGTCTCACTCTATCACTAGGCTGGAGTGCAGTGGTGCGATCTCGGCTCATGGCAAATTCTGTTTTTCGGTTTCAAGCAATTCTCCTGCCTCAGCCTCCTGAGTAGTTGGGACTACAGGCATGCACCACCACGCCTGGCTAATTTTTTGTATTTTTAGTACAAATGGGGTTTCACCATGTTGGCCAGGATGGTCTCGATCTCTTGACCTTGTGATCCACCTGCCTCGGCCTCCCGAAGTGCTGGGATTACAGGCGTGAGCCACAGCGCCCGGCACAGGCCATTGACTTTTACAATGAAGAGAGAATGCTTATTAACCTTCTGAGTACAGGTGTTACATATACACTGCAGCTTTATGTTCTAAACGTTATTTATAAATTTTGATTTCTTTTTCTCTACCCCCCATGTGATTGTATGTCTATACATTTTGAATGTAGCTTCCCTTTCATAAATATCTTCGTGATGACCTATATACAAGTCAATGGAATTAACATGTTTCATGCTCTTTTAGAAAGCTAGAGAATACCTTGCCTTTTGAAAATCATATCTATATTTCTGTACTTCTTAACATATTCTTTAATTTTGTTCCTTTACAATTGAACACAGTCTCCAGGATTAAGTTCAGTAGCCATCCAGTAGAGCCGGAAGCATTAGTACTTTGCATATACCTGTGAATCTATCCTTTGCTCACTTGTATTTCATTTATGATACTCAGGCATGTATTGGCACTTTGATAATCTGCCTTTTCTTTCCTTGATTTTACACACACACACACACACACACACACACACATCCAGTTATATATTGAGTGATGATATTGGCAGTATTGCAGAGTAGCACAGACATCTGAAAGTTAAAGTTAGGTATATGACACTAGTTTACAGTGTCAGTGTGTGATTGGAAGTGTATGACTGAAAGCATGAGTTGTTTAAAGATTAAAGTTTGTATTTTTCATGAACTCTTAGATTCAGGCAAAATCAGTACTTCTTGGGAAGTGAAAATTAACCTTGTGTTTTCTTTTTTTTTTTTTTTTTTGAGACAGAGTTTTACTCTTGTCACCCAGGCTGCAGTGCAATGGTGCAATCTCAGCTCACTGCAATCTCCACCTCCTGGAGGTGGATTCAAGTGGCTTTCCTGCCTCAGCCTCCCAAGTAGCTGGGATTACAGGTGCCCACCACCACGCCCAACTAATTTTTATATTTTTAGTAGAGATGGGGATTCAACATGTTGGCCAGGCTGGTCTTGGACTCCTGACTTCAGGTGATCCACCCGCCTCAGCCTCCCGAAGTGCTGAGATTACAGGGGTGAGCCACGGCATCTGGCCACCTTGTGTTTTCTTCATTATGCAAATTAGAAGTTTGAAATTTGGTTTGAAATATTTGTATCAAAGAAGAGAACATTTCAGGGGACACAGAATAGTATACCAAGAAGAGATTAGGAAAGGTGGATTTTGGAAACCATGAGGAAAGTAGGCTGAGTGGAATGATTTCAGAGATTGGGGGAAAGAAGGAAGAAGATTAGAAGAGATTAATAAGTAGTAAGCACATTCGAGTAGGATTTTGGGTATATGTTTCGGTGTGATATGGTTTTTGTTTTCATTTCTTAGGAAATGTGGGTAACTATAGGTGATTGATCAGAATTTTTTTTTTAACCTTAACTTTTGTAAAAAAAGTTAATAGGAAATGGCTACACCATAGTATTCTTTGATCATTTTATATTCTAGCTGCTCAGTTTATTTATTCACGGCGTGACAAACCTTCCGTTGAGCCTGTAGAAGAATATGATTATGAAGATCTGAAAGAATCTTCCAATTCTGTTTCGAACCATCAGCTCAGTGGATTTGATCAAGGTATAGCAAAAAGATCTGTGTTTCTTATCTGAAAAATGATTAATAACCAAGTACACCAGAATGTATCAGTTTTATTGTGATTGTTTATAACAGTGATTGGGAACAGTAACAATGTAAACATGTCTTTCATATTCAAGGAAAATTTATGTTTTATTAAGTATGTTTTGTGAGGAATGTATTTAACTATGATTGGAAAATTGTATGGCTGTTTAGTAACTGGAATTTTAATTGAACTATCCCATTTAAAAATTTTTTTCGAGAGAAACTCCAGTGATTTGCTAAAAAGAACTTTTTGAGATGATTTAATTGTTTAATAAGCTGTATGTGGAGCTTATGATTAGAATACATAAACTCTTTTACTTACTAAGATGTTAAGTTCAAAAGATTTGAAAAAAACAGTTGAAGTCTAACGTACACTGTGTAAGTGTCCTCAGGATTTACATCTATGTGAATTAATTTTCAAGGTAGAACTTGGTAATGACACTTGTTCTGAGTTTGCATATTTTCATCTCTTTTAAACATTTTAATGAAGATATTTATATTTTGGCTTCCTTCTTTTATAAATAAGTTTCAAACATGACATGGCTTCAAACATCACTCAAGCCATAGATTTGATAGCAGAACTAAAATGACCAAGTGTAACAATAATGCCATTGGTTGATAACATGGCTGAGCTGATTCGATCTTTCTCTGGAGTGTGTTTTTGTTCTATATATATATATTTTTTTTTTTTTGAGAAAAAAGTTTGACTTTGTCACTCAGGCTGGAGTGCAGTGGCACAATCTCAGCTCACTGCAACCTCTGCCTCCCAGTTTCAAGGGATTTTCCTGCCTCACCCTCCTTCCCTCCCCAGAGAAGCTGGGATTATGGGCCCCTGCCACCACAGCTGGGTAATTTTTGTATTTTCAGTAGTGAGGGGTTTCACCATGTTGGCCAGGCTGGTCTTGGACTCCTGACCTCAAGTGATTCACCCGCCTCAGCCTCCCAAAGGGCTGGGATTACAGGCGTGAGCCACTGTGATTTTTACATGGAAAATTTATAATATTTTTAAAACCGAAGAAATTTATGAATCTGGGAATTGATCTTTGACTGGCTAATTTTTCTATTTTTAGTAGAGATGGGGTTTCACCATGTTCTCCAGGCTAGTTTTGAACTCCTGACTCACGTGATCCACCTGCCTTGGCCTCTTAAAGTGTTGGGATTACAGGTGTGAGCCACCACGCCCGGCCTTATAACCTCTACTTTTAACCCCTTCACTATACTGCCTCTTTGGGTGTGTATAGAAAATAGTTTCTACAATTAGAAGAGGCCCTGATGCTAGCTATGCTAAGTATTTTATTACAGTTTCTATAATTGATGGATTTATCAAATAACTATTATTTTCCCAGTATAGCTTATTAGCCTTTAAAAGTTAATTTTACATTGAAACAAAGCAGAATTGCGCAAATATTTCAGAAATTTAATTTTAATAATTAAATGGGCCAATGGAAAAAGTATTAAATACTTTTTTTTTTTTAAAGAAAGGGTATTGCCGGTAGATTACTTGTTCAACATGTAAACATGTACAATTAAATATAAATTGCATTTTACGAAATGGTTTTATATTACTAGGGAGTTTGAAAACCTCAGTTCTATTTTGATTATTGCTAACTTCATAGTGTCATGATTTTCAATCTTATCTTTATTAAGTTAGAATTTGCCTGATATATCTAGCTCATACAGTTATTATGAGGATGACAAAAGAAATATACATAAAAGCATTGTGAAAATTGTCAAGTGCTATACAAATAGGAAGGAATATATCATTCATTTTTATTCATTGGCCCCTAGTTACCTGGTACTGTTTTGGGTTCTAGGGGTACAAAGCCTCTCTGCTCTTATGGATTTTACAATATTGATAAGTATTACTAATAAATACTTTTTATAGTTATGTCATCATCAGAAAATTAAAATTCCTAAACAGCTTAGATAATTCCAGACCTAATTTTTTTTAATTTTAAAAATGAATGCTGGCCGGGCGTGGTGGCTCACACTTATAATCCAGCACTTTGGGAGGCCAAGGCAGGTGGTCAGGAGTTTGAGACCAGCCTGGCCAACATGGTAAAACCCATCTCTACTAAAAATACAAAAATTAGCCAGGCCTGGTGGCAGGTGCCTGTAATCCTAGCTACTTAGGAGGCTAGGGTGGGAGAATTGCTTAAACTGGGAGATGGAGGTTGCAGTGAACTGAGATCACACCACTGCGCCCCAGCCTGGGCAAGAGAGTGAGACTGTCTTAAAAGAAAAAAAGTAAGAATACCTATTCTCCTCTTAATCTATTGGACTTTCTTATTTTTATGGCATGTTTATATTATGTTATCTTGTTCTTTCTAAAAGAGTCATTAAGGATTATTTTAGTTGACTGGGAATAGCTGAAGTTAGCCAAAAAGGAAACTTAAGGTAGCAGCTTGAGAAATATAAGAAATATACTTCGTGAGTAACTGGGTTCACTAACAAATTAAAAATAGTTCCACACTCACCCTTCCCTTTGTGTACATGCAAAAAATGATCAATGCAGATACCATCATTATTGTTGACTGAAAATAGATATCCGTGTATATTTTGCAATACACGCTTTTTTCAAACATCTCAGGAGACATTTTATTATAGTTATTTTTAAATTAATGAAATCATTCCTCTGATAAGGGAAGATGGGTAGATTATAGATAAAAATATGATCAATAGAAATAATTTTTGCCAAAGAGAAAGGAGAGTTTAATCTTCTAGTACAGCTGTAAATTTTAAAATCAGTTTTGAAGATTAAAAGTTCTTTCATGGCACCATTTAGTGTAGCTTTTGATCATTGTTGTCTTTTCTAGCTCGTCTTTATTCATGCCTTGATCACATGAGAGAGGTACTTGGAGATGCTGTGCCAGATGACATATTAATTGAAGCAGTTCTGAAGAACAAGTTTGATGTGCAGAAGGCTTTGTCAGGGGTTCTGGAACAAGATAGTGTGCAGAATTTGAAGGACAAGAATGAGGGAACTGTATCTACAGGAAAGATAGCAAAAGGTATGCCTTTACTGGTTCTCTTTCACTTGTTTTACATGGTTAATGCCTAAAGAGAGGCTTTCATTTGCTTGAGCTTTTAAGAAAAAATTTAATTTGCTTGAGCTATTAAGAAAATCTTGCATATTACTGTTAACTTTTGATTATCAGTTGATCTTCTAGTTTGTGAATTTTTAGGATGAGTACTGTGTTTCCCATCTTCTGTTTTTTTTTTTTTTATTTCACTACTTGATTTTTTTTTTTGTTTTGTTTTTTGTTCTTTGTTTTGTTTTTTGAGACAGTCTCACTCCAGTCTCACCTAGGCTGGAGTGCAGTGGTGTGATCTTGCTCACAGCAACCTGCACCTCCTGGGTTCAAGTGATTGCCCTTCCCTCAGCCTCCCAAGTAGCTAGGATTACAGGTGCATGCCACCATGTCTGGCTAATGTTTTTTTCTTTGTATTTTTAGTAAGAGATGGGGTTTCACCATGTTGGCCAGGCTGTCCTCGAACTCCTGGCCTCAAGTGATCTGCCCACCTTGGCCTCCCAAAGTATTCGGATTACAGGCATGAGCCACTACACCCAGCGTTACTACTTGATTTTGTAACTAACGACATAGTGGAAATAAAATTCGATAAGACATCTTTTTCTTTTTGTTAGTAGCTTACAGAACTTTTTAATTTTTTTTTTAACTCTAATACAATAGGAAAATGAAATTAACAGCCAGTCAATTATGTTAAAGAAAAATGCCTTTATCCTTTTACTATATATAATTTTATTTTATTTAAATATCATTAGATATAAGTATTATACTAGTTTACATTTTATAGCCAGATATTTAATTTTAAATTTGTAAAATTTGGGTTTAAATTTGGAATTCAGTGGACATAAGAGGGGAACTGAGGTGGTACTATTATATTAATTGGCATGCTATCTCTCAGTATGAGTATGGCGATTTGTTAACTATGTCAGTGTTGATTGTAAACTCTGGGCTAAATTTTTGCTACAACAAAGCTGCATACAGCCTGGTGACCATGAAATAAGAGTGTGTTTTGGGGGGACGGTGGGCGCACAGATGGGCACTTTTAACTGGCTGTGATGGGAATGAGTCTTGAATATGTCATCTTGTATTGATAGTGTATACAAGTTTGTGGTAGAAATTACCGGGGGTTATTTTGCTTGTTTGTTTCTAATACATTAAAATACAGAAGAAAATGAACCTAGTTTTTCCTGTTTTTTTTTTTTTTTTTAAAGAAGTTTTTGAATTTGAGACAGTCCTGACTATAATTTAATTATGGTTAAAACCTCACATTTTTAAATTCATGAAAATTAGAACATTGATTGAGTTGACACTTACATTGTGTATGTCAGTGAGCAGAATATAAAGGTTACTTTAAATTGCTAAAGGAAGGTAATATTCCCTTATTGTGTTTTGGAGTATTCACTTAATGTTAAGTAATGATCAAGTATCACTTTATTCATGTCATAATCAAAAGAAGCATTTAGTAATTAAATGCCTCATTTCATGTTTCCTTTTGGTTGCTGTGACTGTCTTCTTCGTATATCAACCTGTTCATCTGAAAATTAATGGCTCTTGTAAGGTAAGGAGTCTTATTTTCTTCTGAAGTTTCAGCTGATGATGGTCAAAGTTCTCATCCTCAGTCAGCAAATCATTTGGATTATAGTAGCAAACCCTTTGATTTTTCTAGCTCAGTAGGAAAATATGGATTATCTCTTAATTCTTCAGTTCCAAGTCACTGTTTGCTCCATAGAAAAAAGCATCTTAACAGACTTAAAAGTGAAAAGAAACTAGAATCATGTAAGTTAACAAAAGAACTTTCACTAGCTGACCTAATTCATGATATATCAAGAGATTCCTGTGAAAGTCAGCCATCAGTCAGATTATCATCTACAGATAGTCTGGAAAGCCTACTTTCAAAGAAACTAGATGCTGATTTGTTGAGACCTTATGCATCTGAATGTGTTTCCATAGATGATTCTGCATTCAAAGAAGTACCAGATTTGAAGTCCATAATGATAAAGAGCACAACACCAAATAATTCTTTATATGTTCAAAATAATTCACTATCTGATTTTCAAAACATTCCAGTACAGGATGGTTTAGGAAGTTCAAATAATCCTTTGTACTTAACTAGCTCATTGGAAAATATGACTGTTGATAATTTAAATGCTAGTAAAAAAACTGAAGTTGGAAGTGTTCCTTCAGTTGAACAAAGTGCCAAGAATTACAGTTTTAAAAATGACAATTTGCAAGTTTCTCAATGTGAAAGTCCATCCCTAACTGAACTGTTTCAAGAACACAAAGAAAACAATATAAACCAGTGCTTTACTTTATCTGATCTTTGTAACCAGTCATCTGCCAGTTTCACAGATCTAAGTTTGGGATCCTTTCCCTTGTCACAATTAGCAAATCGCTGTCAGTCTTCACCTGGAATATCAGAATTAACAGGATCTCTGTCATCATTGGCATTTCATAAAGCTTCTCCCACAAGAGACCTTGAGAATTTGTCACTTTCTGAACTGATTGCAGAAACCATTGACATAGACAACTCTCAGATTAAGAAGGAGTCCTTTGAGGTCAGTTTATCTGAAGTTAGGTCTCCTGGAATAGATTCAAATATTGATCTTAGTGTCCTTATAAAAAACCCAGATGTTGTTCCAAAGCCTATAGTAGACCAAATGGTTGCTCCATCATCACGATCTAAAGTTCTAAGTTCAAAGCTAGGGAAGAATTCCAATTTTGCTAAGGATAATAGGAAAAACAATAAAGGCTCTCTGACTAGGAAACCACCTTTTTCTCTCTCTTGGACCAAGGCCCTTGCTGCTAGACCTTCAGCTTTTGCCACAACACTGTGTCTTCGTTACCCACTGAAAAGCTGCAAGCGACGCACCCTTAACCTCTATAAGACTTTTGTTTATAGTAGACAAGTTGAAGATGTAAAGGACAAAGAAATAAGTCCTCTTGTAGCAATAACACCATTTGACTTCAAATCAGCATCACCTGATGACATTGTAAAAGCTAATCAAAAAAAAGCATTTACTAGAGAATAGTAACACAAGGAAAACTCAATTGCTGTTGTAGAGCTTTTTATTTTTAATTAAAGTCTTCAGAGGATCACTTTATATTATGGGATTCAAATTGTGATTTTTATGAAAATTGTTATAGGTCAGTTGATTGGTTGATACATATTTTTGCACTGAATTTTTTTTTTAACTACGTCTTCTTTTAGTGATAACTGACTTTATTTAAGTTGGTAACTTACACTGAGTATATGTTTACAAAGTGGATATGGAAACTTGATGTTGTGAAATCAGACCTCAGATATTTCTGTTTGAAGCATTCAACTTTCTATGTTTTTTATGATGAAATATTTTTTTTCTGTGATAAAATATTTTTGTACTTTGTCCTTAAACGAAAATGCCAGCACTTGGGATTATTATAGTTTAGTGTGAAGATATTTCTTATGTGGCACAGCATAGCTGAGACATTATATTTTAAAGTAGGATGTAATTCTTATTTTTCTGTAGATAAATACTAGAATTTTTCTATTAGGAAGTCTTAAAATTCCTGACTTTTGAGAGTGCTATGGAGATTGTTGAAATACATTTTTGATGATAATAAAATGAAAATCTTTTAAGGGACCATGTAAATAGAGAAGTTGGATTAATATGTGAATTATTTTTATACATTTTTAAAACCATTTGTCCTGAAGATACACTTTAAAATAAATAAATATATAATAAGTGTTTTCAAGTATGGTTGCATGTTCTTTGAATGGAGAATTTTACCAGATCTCTTTAACTTGTTCTTTTTTTTTTTTTTTTTTTTTTGAGATGGAGTCTCACTCTGTCACCAGGCTGGAGTGCAGTAGTGCGATCTTGGTTCACTGCAACCTCCGCCTCCCAGGTTCAAGCGGTTCTCCTGCCTCAGCCTCTTATGTAGCTTGGACTACAGGCACACACCACCATACCCAGCTAATTTTTGTATTTTTAGTAGATGTGGGGTTTCACCATGTTGGCCAAGATGGTCTCGAGCTCTTGACCTCCTGATCCACTGCCTCAGCCTCCTAAAGTGCTGAAATTGCAGGGGTAAGCCACTGCACCTGGCTTAACTTGTTCTTTACAATAAGTAATGGAATATGGAGCTTTCGTTTTTGCTTCTGACAGCTGTGTTTCCCACAGTGACAAAGTTTCAGCAATGGAGGATCAGTAAGAGCTTTTTTAATCATTAGAGTAAGTTTGTAATTCATCCCTTAAAGCAGTGGTTCTTAACTAGCAATCATAATCACCCGAGAAATTATTTCAGAACACAGATACTGTAGCTTTACTCCATACATGCTTGAGCAGGCTCTGAGGAATGGTACTTGGGAATGTGTATTTTCAAAATTATCCCCCCAAATGATGTGTATTTCTGTCCAAGAACCATTGCCTTAAAGGGAGAAATCAGTAGAATGGAGTTACCAATGCTAAAATAACGTCTGACCAACTTGAAAAGAATAATTTCTAGAAATCAGGAATACCAAGGAAAAATGCTACTTAGGAAGTATGGCTTTTTGCACAAAATGATGCAGATATTAGTAGTATTCTTTGCAAAAACATAATACAGTAGTATCTAAAATATTTTGTTACTATTTTTTGAGACGGAGTCTTACTCTGTTCCCCTGGCTGGAGTGCAGTGGCGCAATCTCAGCGCAATCTCCACCTCTCAGGTTCAAGCAGTTCTTCTGTCTCAGCCCCCCAAGTAGCTGGGATTATGGGCGTGCCCCACCATACCTGGCTAATTTCTGTACTTTAGTAGAGATGGGGTTTCACCATATTGGCCATGCTGGTCTCGAACTCCTGACCTCAGGTGATCTGGCTGCTGTGGCCTCCCAAAGTGCTGGGATTACAGGTGTGAGCTACCACACCTGGCCAAATAATACTTTTTTTTCCTCTGGCAGCTACTTCACTGTGCATTTGATAATTTTTTGTATTATTTTGTTTCTGTTTATTTTCAGAATGATGTTCCAAAATTTTAATCTCTATGTGTTGTTTTTATGTTCAGTATTTTGAGGGAAAAGTTAAGATGGCATTATGTCCTTTTTTTTTTTTTTAAACCAAATACTTCTTGATTTCTTGTGGTGTCTTCAGGTTTTTTTTTTTTTAAGATGGAATTTTGCTCTTGTTGCCCAGGCTGGAGTGCAATGGCTCAATCTTGGCTCATTGCAACCTCTGCCACCTGGGTTCAAGTGATTCTCCTGCCTCAGCGTCCAAAGTAGCTGAGATTCTAGGCATATGCGCCACCACGCCCAGCTAATTTTGTATTTTTAGTAGAGATGGAGTTTCTCCATGTTGGTCAGGCTGGTCTCAAACTCCTGTCCTCAGGTGATCTGCCTGCCTTGGCCTCCCAAAGTGCAGAGATTACTGGCATGAGCCACCACGCCTGGCCCAGGTTTTTTTTTTTTTTAATTGAGTATTTCAGTGCACCATAATACTAATGCTTAGGAGATGTTTAAATCACAAGCTATATTTTGTGATTGATTTCAAAATTTGAATTATCCCAATGGTTGAGATTGTTTTTCTAGTCTAGGACCTTGATCAAACAATTTAGTAACTTTGAATTAGTGTAAGACTGAACTAGATGTATGTATAGGCAGTCTACAATTTAGGGAGTGAATTAAGTGAATTCTAAGAGTTAGTTTGTAACTGATGATATTCCTGATGGATTCAGTGCTACACAAGTGGTCCACATTGCACATGAATCCACAAATACTTATTTAATGTAAACTGTAGTTGAATAGCAGCACTATTGTGTTGCCTTCTTTTATAACAAAGTGATTTTCAAGTGGAAGTACTTTTAAAGCCATGTAGTAGACCTTGTAGGGTCAACTAGGTCTGCATTTGTTGGCTGAGGGGGTTGTAATTACCATGTATGAGATTCTGTAGTATAGGGTAGTAAGAGAAGACAACAATGTCTTAAATAGGTTTCCAGGCTTCCTATTTTACTTGGCTTGGCTGCTGGCCTGTATATGACAGGCATGTATATGACAAGTGCTTGCGCTGTAGACTAAGGGAATGTCACAGTCTCTGAGATTGCAAAGGTGGAACTGTGCAGACCCTTCCATCTAACACCCTTGGCCATTGGTCCTTGATGAAAAGCCAAGTGCCTGCTTGTTCTTGAATATATTCCTTGTGATGATTGTTGGCACTAAGTGTATATTCTGTATCAGCTGCTGTTTATTGATTGACTGCTGTCTTAGTGGCTCAGGTATGCTAGATGTTTTAGTTTACTTTATTTTTCAATTCACTTATAAATTTTAAAATGCAAAGCTGTTTTTATTTGCATTATGATCAAGGGCATTAATAATTTATTTTAGGAATAGAAATAATATTATGATTATATTCTAAAGGATATACAATAAATTGCCAAGAACCAGGGTTTCATTTCTGTACAGAGTACTTCTTAAAACTTTTCCTTTTTGTTTTACCTTTACCCCTTTCTTAGTTACTAAACTGGCATTTTAACCTCTTTTTCTCCTTTCACTTTTGCATCTGTCTTTCTTAAATTCGTCCTTTGTCCTTTTGCTTCTCATATATAATAATAACTATAGTCAGTATTTTATAATTAGGTTTTAGTACTCAGTGGGGAGAATCATGTAACTAATTGCTATACCAGGGATAAAACTAATAAGGTGCTCATTTTTTGTAAGTAAAAGGAACCACTGAAAATAAATACAGTTAAAGAGAAAAATAATTAGTAAATATGATTATTTACCTTTTTTAAATTAACCCTGAATCTGTATGTGGACCATTGCAAATAAACAAGTATACACTGTATATTGAGAAAGAACTGTGTGTCAACATGTTTTCTCTTTTGTGTTCATGCAACTATAGATTTGGTTATAAAGTCAGTTTTATAGTAGTTTAGGAATTATTTTCTATTATATATAAACAGTAGAATGTATATAGATAATGTTGAGTGGACTGGGAGGGATTAATATGAATTTCTATACTAATTTTCCTTTATTTATATACTTATAATGACATAAAGCTCAGTTTATGCAGTTATACAATTTTAGTTTTTAGATTGTAAAATATGTGTTACATTTTGAGTGTATATATACATTTTGTAAAAGCTACATTGAAAGAAATTAAAATTCTGAGCTTTTCCTAAATCAACTGTAAAAACATGCAGTCTATCCATTAGGATTTTCTATATAAACTTGATATTTCTGAATGCTCTTTTAATAATTTACGCTGAAAGTACTATTTTATTTCTATAAACAAATTAAAAAAACAAACTACCTGGTTGTGAAAATTTTCTTTTAATGTATTTGGCATTTAGAATTCTTGCTTTTCATGGGGTAAAATTTTATATATTCTTTTTACTTTTTAGTACTCACATAGAAACACTAAGTACAGGTTGTGGTAAATATTGATAACGCAATTGTAAAGATGACAGTAGAAGGCAAAAGAAATGATAACCTGGGTGTGGTGGCATGTACCTAGAGTCCAAGCTGTTTGGGAGGCTGAGGCAGGAGGATTGCCACTTGAGCCCAGGAGTTCAAGTTCAGCCTGGGCAATGTGAGACTCCATCTCAAAAAAAAAAAAAAAAAAAAGGAATGATAAAATACATATTTATTTCTGACATTGATGTGCCAGATTTATATTAGATGAGTGAAGGAAAGCATTTTAGATGCAAGATATAACCCAAGATGAACAAAGATAAGATTCTTACTGTCAAAGGGGAGGGGAGATATGCACACTTTAACACATGATTATCTTTATTACAGTGTGGCATGTTACACCTTTCAAAACTGACATCCTTGTCTTCCTTATTCAAGGTTCCACCTTCTCTTCTGTTTCCCATCTTTGTTATTACTATCACCATCTAGTTAACCAAAATTAGGAACCTAGTATCCTTGGTTCATCTCTCTTCACCTACTACTCATAATTGATTACCATTCCTGTTATTCCCACCTTATAAATGAGTACATGTATGTGTGTGTGCACATAATATGCATACATAAATAGTCGACTCTTGTTATTTGCAGTAGTTAGTTTTATAGTCAGTACGAACACTGAATTAATGAATACTGAACCATTGCTCCTACAAGAGATACAGGGGTAGGTACCTGTGAGTTTCTTATAACATTTTCATCAATCAGTGAATATGTAACATTGTTTTATATGTGTCTCTATTTGAAGACACCGTATTTAATATATATGTATAGCACGGACTCATTAACACTGAACTCATAGGCAACAGCACTGTAATTCATGCCTTATCTAACATCTTTTATTTGTTAGGCATATCCTAGCCTTCTTGTGCTTAGAATGCTAAGTACTGCACTTGCGGGCCATTTAAAAAATTACCAATAAAAAGTACAAAATTACCAATAAAAGGTACAAAACTGGAAAAAATGTGACACTAAGTAGACCATGAAAAGGACATTTGTTTACAGTATGAGAGCGGTAACAAGAAAGCTGACTGTCGCCTTGCCTCACCTCACCTGGGAACTTGCATGTTGGATGACTCAAATTTTTTGCTGCTCTGCACATGTCCACAAGTGAGTGTAAATGTGAGTAGTGATTTTGGGATTACAAGTAAATTGCAGTAAGTAGGTGAATTCACAAATATGGAACCTGTGAATAATGAGAATCAACTGTACCTTTTTTGACCCACTACTATTTATTGTTACTTTTCCTCTGTTATTTTCCTCTTTATTGTTTTTTTTTAATTTTTTATTATTTTTATTTTTTTGTTTTTTTATTTATTTTTATTATTTTATTTATTGTCACTTTTCCTCTTAAAGGCCATTAGCTTTTAGCAGAATTACCTAAATATCTAACTTGTTTCTTGACTTTTCAGTTTACTCTCCTTAAAATATTCTTTCTATATTTTGGCTAGAATAAGTTTTCTTTTTTTTTTTTTTTTGAGATGGAGTTTCGCTATTGTCACCCAGACTGGAGTGCAATGGCATGATGTCGGCTCACCGCAACCTCCGCCTCCTGGGTTCAAGCAGTTCTCCTGCCTCAGCTTCCCGATTAGTTGGGACGACAGGCGCGCACCACCATGCCCAGCTAATTTTTGTATTTTTAGTAGAGCGGGGGTTTCACCTTGTTGACCAGGATGGTCTCAATCTCTTGACCTCGTGATCCACCCGCCTCGGCCTTCCAAAGTGCTGGGATTATAGGCGTGAGCTACCGTGCCCGGCCCAGAATAAGTTTTCTAAACAAAGTATCTAATCTTCTCCCTAAGTCCTTTTATTTTCTAAGCCCCTTTATGAACTCATTTCTGTTTTGTACCTCTTTATCCAAACCTACCCAAGAACACCTACCTGAGTTTCCTCTGCTTCTGGAATGCCTGCCTTTTTTTCTCTCTTCCTTCCCTCCTGGCTAATCGCTCTTTGGATTGTAGTTTCGGTATCACTACTCTCAGTCGTGGGGGAGGGGAACTTTCATCTGCACCCATACTTCACTATTCTCCCTTTATTTCCACCCCATGTGAAGTCATAATTCCTCCCCCACACATATATAGACCTTCTATTGTAACTCTGCTTTATTCTTCATGGCACTTGTATCCTCTGACACTGTGTTAGTTGTATATACACTTGTTTTTGTTACGTTTGCTCTCTGCTCTCCCTCCACTGCCTCTTCCACGTAAGTTCTACAAATATAGGAATTTTGTGTATTCACTGCTATATTCCCAACTCAGAATATGTCTGGCACATAAGCATAGGCAAGGATTTAAGTAAAACTTGAGTCTTTCTCCTAATGTGGTCCCACAATCTTGTTCCTCGAGGAAGCCACTGTAAATACACTTTATTCTTCCAAAGGTTTCACTAGTGTATTATACATATATGAATGTACATATACGTTTATACAAATGGAGACTATATCGTAACACCTGTATATGCATCACTTAATAAAGCATTTTGCAGATCTTTCTTTACCGTCATATACAGATCAATCTCATTCTTTCCTAACAGCTACCTAGAATTCTCTAATATGGTTGTACCATAATTCATTTAAACAGCCTCTATTGATGAACATTTTAAGTGTTCCAGTTGTTATTGCTAATGATAAATGAACATCCTACATTTCTAGAAGCTGAGTTTATATACTTGAAAGTTTTGGATTACCTTGCAATTTATTTTGTTTTTTCTTCTCTAAATTTTGATTCCTAGATCTATAATTAGTTCTCCTGTTTTAATTTATTACTTTGTAAGTTCATGTATGACTTAAGCTGTTTTCTTTATGTTTTTGCTTTTTATTTCCTACCCTTCTGAGTAGAATATTTAACTTACATGCATTTTTAATTTTTACTGCCTAATTGCCCTTAATAGAAATTAATTTCCTTCCCACTAGTTTATGAGCATTTCTGCCCATATTCTTATGGATAGGGGTAATACTGCTTTTGGTATTATACTAACCTGATAATTGGAAAATATTTTTCATTTGTTTATATTTCTTATATATGAAGCTATGTTTTTCTCCCTGTCTGCTCTTAATCTGCCCATTTTTGTGCTGGTTTATCTCTCATGACTTCTTAGAGAGTGTGTGTCTGTGTCTGTGTGTGTGTGTGTGTGTGTGTGTGTGTGTGTGTGTGTATGTATATGTATGGATTCATATACACACAAACATGAGTATTTATATACTAAGGAAATTAGTCATCAAAGTTATATGCATGGAAAACACTTTCTGATTTCTAGTTTGTCATTTCTTAAGTCATTTTTTAGAAGATAGATTTTGAACTTTTATATATTCAAATTTATTAGCCCTTTTTCTTATGGGTTTTAAAAAGTTATGCTCTACTACAAAAATTAAAGTATCCATTGTTTTTTCTAACAGCTTTGTCAGAGTCATTATTTTACATTTGTATTTTTGATTCAGCTGATATTAAGGGCTAACATAGGAATCTCATTTCTCTACCATCTTTTCTCTTTATGGAAAGATGGATTTATCATAGTACTTTTTAAAATTACTATAGCTTTTTAGTATCTGTTGTAATACTTGGTAGACTTCTTGTTTTTTTCATTCCTTTTTGTAGTTTTCCTGAGCTATCTCACATGATTCTTTTTCCCAATGAGCTTTAGAAACAGCTTATCTACTTACTAAGAAAAGAAAAAAATTCGGCTATAATTTTTATTTTTGTATTTAATGCCAGCAAGAAATTTTTGGAGGAAAAAAAAAAATGCTGTCTCCAGAGATGCCAAATGCTTTAGATAACATTAGACATTATTATTATTATCTTAGTAGATTTTCTAGTATTGTTCTAGCCTTATGATATAGAACCATCTCCAGTTGGTCATGGTGGATTATTATTTTAATGTGATGGATTTTATTTACTAACATTTTATTTAAGATGATTTCACCTATTCATAAAATTATTTGCGATTGTATATGTATGCTCTTTGGATATTGTTTTTCTTGTGATGGTTTTACAGAAAATTTAGAATGATTTTATTTATCTTCAGTTAATTTAGTAGCATTGAAATGATGTGTTTTATGATGGGATTTATCTTTTTGAAGATTCTCGGGTCAGTTTTGAAAGTTTTAATTTTCTTAGAAAAAGATCCATTTTATCCAGGGTGACACATGTATTTGTTGTTTGTTGTACCAAACATTGTCTTATTCTTTTAACATTTTCTATGTCTTTGGTTAATTCTCCATTCTCATTTTTAGTGTTGTTTTCTCTCCTCTAGTCTCCCCTTTCTCTCTACCCAGCATTTTTTTTTTTCATTTTGGATTACCTTGCAATTTATTTTGTTTTTTCTTCCCTAAATTTTGGTTCCTAGATCTATAATTAGTTCTCCTGTTTTATTACTTTGTAAGTTCATGTATGACTTAAGCTGTTTTCTTTATATTTTTGCTTTTTATTTCCTGCCCTTCTGAGTAGAATATTCAACTTACATGCATTTTTAATTCATCTTAAAAGTTTTTATGGCCTGATTTGGTGGCTCATGTCTGTATTCCCAGCACTTAGGAAGCTGAGGCAGGTGGATCGCTTGAGCTCAGGATTTCAAGACCAGCCTGGGTAACATGGTGAAACCTCATCGCTACCAAAAATACAAAAATATTAGCCAGTGTGGTGGCATGCATCTGTGATCCCAGCTACTTGGGAGGCTGAGGTGGGAGGATGGCTTGAGCCTGGGGACAGGTTTCAGTGAGACAAGATTGCACTAATGCACTCCAGCCTGGGTGATACAGTGAGACTGTCTTTAAAAAAAAGGTAGTTTTTATTTATGGGATTTCAAACAACAATGCAGAAAATAATGTAACCAACAGTCATGGAACTAGC